CATGGCCGCTGAGCCTGTGCGTCCGGAGCCTGTGCTCCGCAACGGGAGAGGCCACAACAGGGAGAGGCCCCCGTACTGCAAAAAAAAAAAAAAAAGAGAGAGAATCTTGAAGGAAGAGAGAGTAGGTATACGTGTAACTGACTTACTTTGCTGCACACCTGAAACTAATACAAGATTGTATAGCGACTATACTTCAATACAAATTTTTCTTTTAAATGGTGGATGTTAGGAAAGGCCCCCAGCAATTTTCCAAGGGCTAAAAAGCTCTACCCATGGACTATATCCAGAAATCTATTTCAATTAAAAACCTGCTTTAAAATCATAACCAATATAAAGGTGTCTTCAGTGCTTTCAATCATAAAAATCATCATGTAAAGCAAATGCAAAAAGAGAGTCACCTAAGTAACCCCCACTCCAAAACTCTTTGTGTGTAAACCAATATTCTTCATGAAACAGGGCTGAATTTGTATTACATGGTTGTTTCAGGGAATCTATTTTTATTTGCCTTCTAGCATCTCTAATTTGTGCAGAGATCAGATGCTGTTCACTTAGAATCTGTTTGTAGAGCCATAATTGAATGTTTAAAGAAACTCAAAGCTTCCCTGGAGAAGCGTTTCTCATGATGTTGCTGTCTGCCTGTGGAACTGCGGGAACCAGCTTTACAAGTTCCATAACTCTCCTGGATCCCCGTGGATACCCAGACCATTCCTTAAACAGGTTCTCTGTGCAACTGCATCTTTGATCAAAATGCTTTATTGGACAGGCTGGCCAGCTTAGACGTCCGTTTTTCCGGTTTAGGATAATTAAAACTGATGGCGGTAGATCATTCCCACCAAGCTTTCTGTTTTCAAGCCCTGTCCATCACTGGTTGAAGGCAATTGCTGGGGGAAGTCCACGGCCCACTTGATTTATATTTCGGGCGTCTCTGAGCTAGAAGAACTTTGGCATTGACTTTTCTTCTGTCTGGAATAATTCCAGACATCTCTTAGGGGGCCACTCTAATTAATATTCACTCCAGAACAGTTGCAGAAAGGAGCATTTTAAATTTGTCAAACATGGGCATAAATATTTGAGAAGGCATTTGTTAGACAGTATCTCAGAATATCATGATGTAGGGTAGAGAAATGCAGCCAGTGCAGAGGTGGGACTGGGTGGATTAGCAGTTGGCTGAATAGCTACCTAGAGGATAGTAATCCGTTGTTCAGGTTGAACCAAATCGTGTTGGACAGCTGGACTGAGACTGCTGTCAGTGGCTGCAGGACAGTGTACAAGACTTCATCCTGGCCCACAGTTTTGTCAGCCCATCGCTATGAAGACGTAAAAGGTGTGCTGATCACATTTCTTGGCAACGCAAAGCTGGCGGGGGATAACTGTGCTCTGCATGGCAGAATCTGGATTATGGAGATTTCAGCAGTTTGGATCAATGGGCCAAAACTAACAAGATGAGATTTAATGGGGATAAATGTAAAGTCCTATTCTTGGGTTAACAA